ACTGAGATCTGAAGACAGACGCAAGGTTGGCTAGAAAAAGACGGGGGAAGGATGAGTCACGTAGAGGCAACAGCATAAGCAAAGTTCTTTGGAGGGGGTATGCCTGGTGTATGTGGTGGGCTGATAAAAGAGCCACTGCAGGTGATGCAGACAAAGCCAGGGGGGAGAAGGTGGTTTAGGAGGAGGACAGGCAAGATAGACCATGTGGGGCTTTGTAGATCCCGTTAAGTTTTGCCTTTATTCTAAGAGCCATTAAAGGAGTGCATATGTGTTAAATTAAAGTATAATTTACATACAATAAAATGACCAGTTCTTAAATGTTCAGTTCAACGACTTCTGATCATTGTAAATATCTGCATGGTCACCATCCAAAAACAAGATACAGACCATTCTCCATCATCCCAGAAAGTTCCTGTAGGCTCCTTTCTAGCCATACCATCCCCCTGCCCCAAGACAATCACTTTCTGACTTCAATCACCAAAGATTAGAACTTATGCTTACTGCAGAACTTTATGAAAACGCAATCATACAGTATGTACTCTCCAGTGTTTATCTTATTTTGCTGAGCTATTTTTTAAAGATTCATCCATGTTCTTGTGTGTATCAGTTATTCAATCCTTTTTATTACTGAGTTACAGTAGTCCACTGTATGAACAGTGACAATTTGTTCATTCATCCATCTCTTTTTGCACATTTGAGTTGTGCTGTTTTTGGCTATTATGAATCAGGCTACCATGATTGCTCCTGTACAAGTCATTACAAGGACACATACTTTAATTTCTCTTGGGTAATTGCCAAGGAGTGAATATCTTGTGTCCACAATATTTTTTGTCTATTTATGAATTAGAGTATCACAGCATCTAGTAAGGGACCCCCCGCCTCGAAAAACAGAAATTTAATTAAGAAGCCCGAGAAGATGTCTTACCTGTTAAAACAGTTATAGCTGAGTCATCCTTGCTTGCAGCTTTAAGTGCGAGCATAATTTCTTGATACATCTATGTGAACAGGAAGACAACGAAAAACAAAGAACTCTGAAAATGGGAATTATCACCCAATGGATTCACTAAATGTCTGTCTGCAAGTCTGCTCTCAGCAAAGTGCCAAACATTTATGTTGGTTGTATTTATAACCAAAAGGGTGGACCAATATCAGGTGCTATGGTAGATACCAGGGGCTATAACCACTTTTTTCCAAAAGTGACCAAAAAAGATACAGTCCCGAGCTTTTGTAATTAATAGAGTATATAATGCTCAAATAGGCCGGGGTGGAAAGCAAGAAGCAGTAGGAAACTCAGAGGAGGTGCCGGGGCTTGCCTGGGGTGGGTAGCACTGGAGGTGGTCAGAGAAAACATTCCATGAAGCAACGTCTCAAGGAGGAACGAGTGTCCCAGGCAGTGTGGGAAGTGTTAATAAATGCCAAAAGGCTAGGATTTCCGAGACACTGTAATGGTATTCAAGGACAATGTCCTCCAAATTATAAATCAGCAACAGTTCTGGAAATCTTGGATGTATAGCTATAGCTTTTAATGCATTTAAAGCAGGTGCAATTTCTACCTTAGATAAGATTGTAGTATGTGAAAGAATAATAAAAGGGCTAATATTACAGATACAAAGACACTGAAAAAATAAACACATGGACTTTACATAATATATAAGTAAAGATGTAATTTCCACCAAGGGAGAAAATAAAGAAATAATTCCATTATTATTATAGTTATGACAACAGCACAGCAGGGTGACTGGCAAGAGCCAGGAACAGGAGATGGATCTATCAGGGTTTTGATTCAGGTTTTCCTGCTTATTAGTCACGTGAACTCAAGCAAGTTACTTCTTAACCTGTCTAATTATTTTACTGATTAATAATGAGAACAATAGGCTCTTGTGAGAATCAAACCTCTGTGTGGAGAGTGCTGATGCTTATTAGGCCCTCTGTAAAGAGTAGCTATTACTACCATGGTCATATAGAAATGAGTTAAGAGAAAATGGAAACAAAGTTTTCAGAATGAAATACTTTATTGAGTGGCACATACCCAACTTCATGAAATTCTTACTAAAGACTATTTTAAGTTAGTATACTCTTTCTACCACAGTGTAGATTATAAACCCAACGGTTCCACTCTTCTCAAATTTTACTCCCAGTTCAGCACTAAGCATCCAATTAATCACCTATAATTTTTTTCAAGGGGAAGGGGCTAAAATGTTTTTTTTTTATTATCATTTTAGTTCACGAGAGATTCAAAGGCTAAAGTCGCCCTTGTGAAGCAGCTCATTTAAAGCAGAGCTGGGTTATGATTTATTTAGGATAAAGCCCTTCTCTCCTTTCTCCCTGTATTTGTACAAAGTAAAGCTCCATGTGAGCAGAAAAAGACTCATTCTAGAGTCTAAGTGATATGAAGATTCTTCTGGAGACAGATTATAACCAATCTTGCAGGGTCTCTATGCATATTGACTTATGTTGACATATATTTCACTTATATTAATTTAATGTATTTGTGTCTCCATTAACAGGAAAGTTGCAGTGCCTTTTGGATATGTGGAATCTACCTGAAACTCACAGACTCCAAACAAAGAATGCACAAATTTGTTGTAAAAAGTAGCCACAATTCGAATCTTCCTACACAAATCAAACCAGAGACATCACCAAAATAGGAATGATGCTGAAACTTAACAGTTTTTGAGCGAAACAAGTAGAGGGGAAAAGAAGAGCAGGACAAATTCTCAGGGCAGGTAATATTACCTGAGGGCTGATGGCATTTTTTTTCGTGGGCCGGTTTAACATGATCTTTGTGATGCCATCTTCAGAAGTCACCACCAAAGTTTCATATCCAGGTGGTTTCCTGTAGGCTCCAGGCTCCACCTGGCTAGAGGATTCAGATGGAGGACTTAAACTGGACACCAAGTCCACATAGTTCTGCCTTGCAGTTTCCTGAGAAGATAACAAATAGCTTCAGTTCACGGTCAGTGAATAAGGATTCTGAGAAACTTATTATACTAATAAACAGCACCTTGAAATAAAGAAAAAAACAGAAGTTTTGATTCAATAAAAACACTCCAAGATCTCAAAGGCTCCACTGATAATGGCTTGATGAGAAGTATCAAGGGTCCTTAGAAGTACAGCAAATAAAAGCAGAGTAACACATGAACTCACCTTGGGCAGGGTGCCAAGGGCATTCCATGCATCCCATTTGGCCTTATTGATCAAGTCAAACACACCTGGTTTGGGCAAATTACAAGGTCCTTCAGTGGCCTGTGAAGAGGGGCAATTAATGGCAATAAATGTCCATGCAAACCAGAGACCTACATATTTAAGATCTATAAAATCCACAACTAGCATGAATGCCTCCCCCAAATCCTATTATAGGGTATGTAAATTGATCTGAACTTTCCCCTTGCCCTCTTTTTGAGGTTGTTGCTTAAAATGCACAAACAACAACAAAAAAAGACTGGAGAGACAAAAGATGCTATTGGGTATTAGTCCCTAAAATAAGTTATTACTGTCTGCATATGAAAATAATGCAAGATAAGGGTGTTGGGAAAGTACTTCCTAAAATATTCTAATTGTTCACTAGTCTTATATTGATGAGCACACTTGCACATATGATCAAAATACTCAAGCAAACAATCTTCCAAAGGAACTAGTCAGCAAACATTTGGAAACCCACAGTATATTCTGAGAGCCCATGCAAAGGTACAGAAAACACCACTAATTCACAGCGTAACTTTTTCAGAACCAACCTGTGAAAATAGTCTTTCCAACCAAAGAAGCTCACTCCAGCCTTAGCATCCAGTTTTTACCTGTGCTCCATCATGTAAACATGATTGTGTAACCCGAAGCCCCCACCCTAACTCACATTGTTACTACCTGGTGAGGCCAACTCCCCAGCCTAAATCACACTGTTAGACTATTCAAGCAAACAAAGATGCTCCTATGAGGCATGACAGTTCAAGGGCTTGGATAACCTCCCAGAAGCCAAGGCCAAAGCCAGACCCCTTTTTGGGCAATATTAAATTCTTCACTACTCAGTACACACCCATATGAAAGTAAGAGAGGCTCATACCAATCATAGAACAGTAAAACAGATAACACAGGAGGAGCCCAGAGAGGCAGACATGCCAGGGACACCTTTGGCATTGCAACTTAAAAGCTTTAGTTTTTAAATTTTGTTGTAAGAATTTTCAAACATACACCAAAGTAGAATAATATAATGAATTCCCAATATCCATCACCCAAATTCAACAATTATCAAGTTTCTTTAGTTTCTTCATCTTTTTCTTTTTTGCTTAATTATTTTAGTGAATCCCAAACATCATGTTATTTCACCCCTACATACCTACTATACATTTTTTTTAAATATGAACATTTTCTTATATAACCGTGACACCATTAACAATAATTCCTAGGTATCTTCTAATATCCAGTCCACATTCAAATGTCCTCAAATGTCTCAAAATACATTTTTCAGTTGATTTAGTCCAGTCAAGAGCCAAATAAGATCGACACATTTGAATGTTATATCTTATAAATCTCTTTTACTGTGGAATAATCCTGAGGGGCTCCTTTGTGCCCTAATAGTATTTCAAGGTCTAATATGCAAAAAAAACTCACATATATGCACTCTTCAGAGGAAAGGCAGCAATACAAATCCAAAATATTAAAGCTGCATTTTAGTAAACATATAGCATATCTATTTAAGGAGCCATTTACTCAAAATGGCCCTAAATAATGTTAGACCTTAGACATTTACCTGCTTATATAGTGCGTAGAGTTTTAGCTTCACTTCATTTCCTGGATCCTTCTTCAAGAGTTTCACCTGATTCATTGCATTTTCGAAGTCTTTCTGACCGATTCCCATTGCTGTTCTGCTCATGTGCAACTGAACTACTGGGAAACCAACGACCTGCGGAGGACTACAGTTAGGCAGACTAATTTATACTTGCTCCCAGTCCTTACATATCTGCGGTCTGTTCCCAACCCTTACATACCAAAATGCCATGTTTCTCTATAAATATTTTCTCTATGCTTGCCCCAGCAAGCTGGCTGCAAAAGGTTAGCAGTAAGCATACCAAGATAAACCAATGCAGAAGCTAAATGTACTAATGTTAAAGGAAAAGGAATCCAGCGAGGTATTTTTAAGCAATAAAAATTAGAGATAAAAGCAGCCAGAACGAGAATGACTAAATTTTGCAATAGTCAAGAGGTAAACGAAAGGCACGCAAGACAGAAGTGGCAGGAGACCAAGGGGGTAAAGTGCACAGAATTTAGTCACTTGTCCCAAGGTCATGAAACAGCTTCTGCACTTACTGATTAACAAAGTATCAACTATTATCAGGTCAATTCTTGCCTCTCTGGCCACAAAACATGTGTCCCAACATACACCCAAGTGGAAGGAGGGGAGATTGGATGAAGACACAAGAAAGGTTCAAAAGGCTAGATGAGCAGTTGCTGGCACTCCAGACAGAGCCACCGCCTTTTCAGCGAGGTGAAATGTAGGTAGTCAGTGAAGCAGGGCTCAGCTGGTGTACCCCATCCTCAGGCAGGATGTTTAACCAGCCAACCAGGAGCAGAGCAGAAACAGCAAGCAGTGCTAGGTGACAAGCAAATTTTTAAAAGCACACACAGTAAGTGGGGGTGGGGTGGTGAACTTCAATTCACAGTACTAAGTCTACAAGCAAAAATGGATGTTCACAGTTATGACCCTGATAATGAAGTCAGTGGCATCAAAGATTATTACAATAATATGGTTACAAATATAGCCCAAACCTAAGAAAATGCATCACCTCCCCTGCAATTACTGTAACATGCAGATGGTACAATGAACTCTAGGTTCAAACCCTTAAATACGTGTAAAATTCAGTAAAATCAGTCAACAATAAGTTTTATATTAAATAGCTTTTTTTTCCCCTAAAAAGGGAAAAATTCTGCAACCTACATGAATTTGGCACCAAATTCCAAAAGGGAAACTTAAAATGTCCACAGAAGGCCTAAATTTGCAAGTCCCCACAAAATGTGGCTGTAAGCTAAATGTGGGACACAGACCTATTTCACCCTCCCTGTGCATACCAGATTCCCCCTCCCACTGGGAAACTACCCCCGGCCGAGGTAGTTTACCCCAAGGAAAGGCATGGCTCCTTTAAGACAAATGGAAAACGGTAGGAAGGAAGCAGGAGCCCAGAGTAAACGAATTAGCAGTAAGTGGAGTTAGAATAGCAGTGTTAACTCCAGGCGCAGTTAGCTTATCTACTCAGCCAGATCTCCTGCGAACTCTGAGTCGAGTGAGGGTCTACCCATAAGCACGCGACAGACTTACACCTTTCCTTTGACCCGTTCACTATGTAACCGTTGTATGTGGCCCGTGGCGGTGCAGATTTCTAGCTGACGGCCGCCATCGGCCCCTCCCTAGGTCTAACACGCTGACGTCTCTACCTATCAGCCCGGCTGAGTTCTTGGGAACAGGCAAACACGACGCCAGGGCCTTTTCAGATTCGGGGCTCCCACAATACAGCGGTATTTACTAATTTGAAAATAAAGTGTGGGTTTTTAAAACAAATTGCAAAAACATGGCTATTTAAGAAAAGACATGAAGTGGGGAAAATCGTTCATAATTTCACCAACTCAAGGTAACCATCACGTTCCAGGTTTCGTTCTCTAGTACAGAAATTCGTTTGGGGGCGTTACAAAGTTGTGACAGTGCACCCCATCGCTTCACTTCGCGTCACAGCGAACGTGCGCTCCCCAAAATCAACTAGACTAAGCCCACGTCCCGCAGCGCTCAGCCAGCAGCCAGCAGCCTGCAGCCGCCGGGCGTGCGGGGCCGCGCACCCTCCCTCCGCACGCAGTCCTGGCCGCGGGCGCTGCGGGGCGGCCCACACGCCGGAAGCCGGGCGCGGGGCACAGCGCGGAGACG